GATATTTAGGTGGCGAAGTGGGGCTTCTGCCTGGCTCCCAAGGCAGCTGAAAACTGCTGCTACTCTGGAGAGGCTGAGATCCTTCACTTGAGAATGGCTGGCACAGGGCACAGCTCCCAGGCTGTCCTGTGGGATGGCTGAGAAAACTCCAAGACGGGCACCATCCCATCGTCTGTAGGGTCTGCAGGCACACACAGCTCTGCTGGGATGTCCTGGGAGGGTCCCTGCTATGCCATTGCCATAGGAGACCGACAGGCAGCACTTATATGTAACCCCTTGAGGCATCCTCACTTCATGCCAGTGCCCTGCTTGGCCCCACAGAGCAGCCACCAGAGCTCAGGCACAGGGAAGGAGCAGGGTCAGACACAGACAGCACGGCATGGGAATGTCAGCAGCACTGCTGGGAGCCAGGCTGGGGTTGTCACCTTGCAGGACCACAGACTGTGTGCTGGTTTTCTTGGGGAGAGGATATTTCATTGCAAAATATCCCTTGCAGGGAGATGCAGGCTAGTGGCAAAGGACGAGGGAACAAGGAGAACCAGAGCAGCTGGCACTGGCAAGAAGTGAGCAGAGGTGACACTTTGTCAGGGCGACAGGGTAACGAGGGTCTGACATTTTGGGTTTTGTCTTTGCCCCGGTCCTCAGGAGTCAAACCACGAGCATGAGTTTGGGGCTTGCAAGTTGTCTGTGCTCCTCAGACAGGGAAGTCCTTCTCCTCAGCTTCATCTCTGTCACTTTCTCCTTTTGCGCCTTCTACCTCTGTTTGTCTCCTCTGCAATGACAGGAAGCCACAGAGTTAAAATCCCAGGAGCGCCAGCTATGGGAATGCAGCATGGTTTCCCAGCTTTCCCTGGGGAAAGCCCAGGAGCCATGTCCCACATGGGTGCTTCTGCTCGGCACTTTGCAGTGCCTGCCTGCAGCCGAGGTTAGCGCAGGAATTGCGGGTGAGGAATTGGAGCTGCCACGCAGGGAGCTGCTGGGAATAGCTGCCACGCTTTACATTCACAGCCCATCTATTTTGCAATAACTTCACCATGATGTTCCCACATAGACAAGCCTAAGCTAGCATAGATAATGAAATGGGTTAAAGGAGACAGGCGGAGGGAGAGGAGAGGAGCCAGCAACTAGTAGTAAATCAGGGAGAGAACAGGGTTACTTTAAATTCAAGGTCTTGGTGGCAGGGCAAGTTTGGTTTGTGCCAAGAGGCACAGGGTTCAGAGGATGAGACGCTGTTGGGGAAGACAATAGTGTGTCTCCTCGGTGGGGCCACCAACTTGTGTCTCCCATCAAATCCCACCCTCTTCTTGTCATTCCCCTGTGCCTGCCCCATGAGCATCATTGGGATTAAGCACAGCCAAGGGCTCCCATCCCGAGTGGTAAAGGGTGGTCAGAGGATCCTGAAGGAGGATCCTGGAAGGACAGGCAGCGGTCTTTGCTCTTCAAGGGGAAGGTTCTGCCGGCCCCCATCAGCTCTTGGTCAGGGCCTGGGGAGACCAAATCACTGAGACTCCCCCACCTTTGGCACGGGCTCTGAGGCAGTCCAAACAAGCTAATTAAATCCTGCTCTGCTTAATCAGAGCCATTGAGCACCAGTCAGAAGAAATTAATCCCGTGTTTTATTAGATGCTGTTTGAAGTCGTGTTTGGCACCTTGTCCTCGGTTCTCATCTCCTTCTGGGGAAGGAAGAAGGACATCTGTGGGGAAGAGCGAGGGTGCAGCAGATGGCAGCAGGGATGATTCAGGGGCTTGAGGAAGGAGCTGCAACTCCAGTGGCATCCCTGGGGGGGGACGAGACACCTCTCCCTGCATCCCACAGCCTACCCCTCCCCACGGCTGAGAGTCTGCGAGCCAGGCAGGCATCCCAAAAATACATGTTCCTCCGCATTGCATGCTAATGGCTCTGCTCGAGAGGTCCCACCGCAATTAAAGCACAAGGAGCATTAATATGCAACATGGAGAGGCCACTCTTCCCACAGCTACTCCCTCCCAAACCTGTCCTTCCTGCTGCACATCCCTGCCCACTGGGAGCCTGCCCACGGGGATCCCACAGCAGTCCCAGCGGAGCCGCTGGCAGTGTGCAGTAAATTTGAGCCTTCCTTTTGCTGTGCCCAGGGGATGCTGCCTTTTCCCTCTGGCACCCGGCACCTTCTCCTGCCTTGCGGCTCAGTGGAGCATGATCTGTTGGGTACCTACCAGGTGGGTGCCATGCAACACAGCCCTGGCATGGGAGATACCCTGACAGATGGGAGAAGTCCACAGGCAGGTGTTTAAAACAACCAGCTGGGTGATGGTTTGGGGTTTTTAATGACTTCTGGTGCTTTAATTGCTGCAACCCAAGAAAAACTCCTGACGAAGAGAAAGTCTGGCCAAGTAAGGTAGCCTACAGGTCGCCCTCCACGCCTTGGGAGCGCTCGGTAGCCTTGGTACATGCTCCTGCGACTTGGCTAGATGAAGCTGCTCGCTTTGGGTGTGGGGATTTATTTTTTCCTAAATGTCCTGTCATAACTTGCGCTAAAACTTTGCAGAGCCACTTAATTGCGTTCTGCGGTGGTGATGATATGAAATTAGTCTCCCTTCTGATCTTTAGCTAAGTTGGTCCAAAGCACCAGCTTATAATTTGCTCTAATCATCAGGTCGCGGAAGATGCGAAGGCAGGGCCGGTGCCTGGTGAATTCACACGGGCTGGGAGTTTCCACCCTTGCTCTGCCGGCATTTGGCAGCTGGCAGGTTAGGCTCTGCCACCCTGGCATGGCAATATTGATAATTTCTTTTGGTGCCACTTTGGGAAGTTTTTAATCAACTGCTCTTGGCCATTTCCTCTAGAAAGAGCTGGGAACTACAGCTGTCCGGAAGAGAGGAGGGAAAGCCGAGGTGGTTTCCTGTCTCCCTTCTCGGGCTGCTCTCCCCTGTGAGCATCTCAGAACATCCTCCACTCCTGTCTGGAGACCTGGAACCAGACTGCTGGAGGCACCTGGAGAGGAAGGGATCCTGTCTCTCATCTCACTTCCCTGGGCTTGATTCATGTCCCAAACTACTCCAGGGGATGGGAAGAGGAAGTGGCTGAGTTTTGCCTACTCACCTACCTCAGAAAACCATCGAGTTAGAAGAAAACAAGCTCCCGATGAACAGGAGCAGGGCAGGGCAATATTCTGGGCACAGAGAGGCCCTCTTGCTGCCGAGGGCACAGCGCCCATCATTCCAGTGGCATTAGCGCTTTCCACCTCCACGCAGGAGGTACAGGATATCACGGTATTATTTTTAACCAGGGATATTTAGTGAACTTCTCACGTGCTGCTGGAGGGTCAGATTTATCCCATAGCCCCAGTCCCAGGGGACACTCCCAGTTATTTTTGAACCCATCAGAGCAGCAGAGGAGCAGAGGGATGCAAAGGCTCGGGAGACACAAAGTCTGGGGTTTGTCTGTGCCTGTGTGCCGGTCTCTGCCTTGTCATCGCCGCTGTCACCCCGGCCCCCACCATAAAACCCAAAACTTGGGCGAAGCCCTAGGTTTTCCTTTCCTGCTATGACGATCTCGGACGCCCGCAAGTTTTGATCCTTTTCGACCTACCGCATGGCAACTGTTTTCTTCCCACCCCCCCCACCCTCTAGCTCAATTTAAACCTCAGTTTAAACTGTGAAGCGAGTTTGGCCCTGCTCAGGCAGGTCCCGATGGCCGTGAACATTCCCACGGGCGCCGCACCGCCGCCGCCGCCGCGGGAGTCCCTCCCACGCCCCGCGGCTCCCCGCGCCCCGCAGCTCCCCGCGCCGCCGCCCCGAGCCTCCCTGCCCTCGCACGGAGCCCATGGCCCCGCTCACACCCAACATCCCCCATGCTTTCAGTGCAACCTCCCCGTTTTAGCAGTGGGTAACTCAACACACAACCCAACCAAGCGCGCAGTCGCCGTCCCGGCTGGTTTTTGTTCAGCCAGTCACTTCGGAGGTAGAGGTGAGGCCAGGGCAGGGGGAATGAGCTGTTTGAAGCCCTGATTTTTGTACTGCTCCAACATCTGTCCCCATGGGCACTGCCACTCGAGACCGGCACCGATGGTTAGTTTGATGGGCTCCTGCACAAACGGATGTTGGTGGGGCGAGGGACGCAAAGCCCTCGCTTCTAAATTAGAGATGCCCTGGGACACAAGCGTGGCCTTGTCCAAGCCCCCGGAGAGAGGTAGAAGAGCCCCCCACAGCCCACCCTCCGCGACCCCCACCCAGCCCGGCGAGGGTTGCTTTCCCCGCTTGTTTTTAAGGGCAGCAGAGCGAACAAGACCCGTGAATGGAGCTGGCAGCCAGGACAGGCTGGCCCCGGGCTCCCCTCAGGGCTCCGCGCAGCCGGGCGCGCCTGGCCCCGAGGTGATCGCCGGCAGCGCGGAGCTAGGGTGCGCGGCGCCGGGCGGGACCCGCCGGGGCCGGTCCGGAGGAGAAGGCGGCGTGCCCAGCCCCCGGCCTCCTCCCTTCTTCCCTCTCTCTGTCCCTGCCTCCTGCCGGGTCCGTCCCGCCCGGCGCCGCGGAGCGGCAGCGCCTGCCCGGCCTCACGGCCGCTCCCCCACACCCCCCCCGACGGGCGGTTTCAAGTCCCCCCTTCCGAGGTCTCCGCAGCGCGGGCCAATCAGCGCGCGCTGCGCGCCGCGGCCCGCCGCCTTAAAGGGCCCGCGCGCCGCGCGGCGCTGGGGAACCGGCACCGCCCGCGGGCCGAGCCGGGCGCGCTCTAGGACCGCGCGCAGCCGCCGCCCGCCCTCCCTGCCCGCCGCGGGAGGCCGCCCGCCGCCTCCGGAGCGGGGCGTGGCGCGGAGAGGCCCCGCCCCCGCCGGGCGGTGATTGGCGGCAGCGGGCGCCCGTCGGCGGCGGGGGCGGCGCCCGGCGCGGCCACGTTCGGGTGCGCGGCCAGCGGCGCGTTGGGCGCAGCGAGCGGCGGCGGGCGCGGGGCGATGGGGGCGCGGCGGCGGCCGGCGCTCTGACAGCCCCCGGCGTTCCCTCGGCGGCGGGCGCAGCGGCTCCGGCGGCAGCGGCGGCTCTCGGCGGCCGCCCCCCTCCTCCTCGGCGCGGACCATGTTCGCCAAAGGGAAGGGCTCGGCGGTGCCCTCGGACGGGCAGGCGCGGGAGAAGTAAGAGCGGCGGCGGTGGCGGCGGGGGGAGCGGGGCGGCGGTGGCGGCGGGCGGCTTTGTGCGGGGCGGGAGCGGGGCTCCTCTCCCTCCTCCTCCTCCTCCGACCCGGCGCTCGGCTGTTGCAGGCTGGCGCTGTACGTCTACGAGTACCTGCTGCACGTCGGCGCCCAGAAGTCTGCGCAGACCTTCCTGTCCGAGGTGAGCCCCGCCGCCCCCCGCGCCCTTTGTGCGCCGCCGCACGCCCGCCCTCCATCTTGCGCGGGGCGGCGGCGGCGCCGGGGGGTCGCCGCGCGTGGGGGCCCACGCCCACCCGCGACCACCCCCCACCCGCACCGCCCCCCCTCCCAACCCACCCCCCTCCGCCTCCCTCTTGCCCGCAGATCCGGTGGGAGAAGAACATTACGCTGGGCGAGCCCCCCGGCTTCCTGCACTCCTGGTGGTGGTAAGTGCGGGGGTGTCCCGTCGCGGGTGGGAGCAGACCCCTGGGCTGGGGGGGTGCGCGCCGGTGGCGCGGGGCCCTACGGGGTGCAGCCCCGGTAGTGGCGTGAGTCAGCAGCGGCGGCGAGCCCCGAACCGCCCCGGCTCCCGCTCCCCGCGGGCGTCGAGGCGCGGCGGAGCCACCCCCGGCCCCGCGGGAGCGGCGGGCAGGGCTCCCGCTGGAGAGCTGCCGGGCCAGCCGCAGGCACCGGGCTGTGCCGGTGCCACTGGGGCGCCCAGGGGAGCGGGGCTGGGCGGCTGCGAGGCTGCGAGGAGTCCCTGAAGTCTCACGGGGGTTATCCCTTCGAGGTGTTGCCTCTTGAAGGCTACTTTTGCTTCCTTAAGCGCTCAGCATCCCCGCTCCTGACGGTCAGGTCCGAGCAGTGCGAAGCTGGGATGATGCACAGCTGGATCCAGCTGAGGTCCCATCCCAGCCGTGGGCCCCGTGGGGTGGGAAGCCGCTCACCTGCGCTGACCTGGGTGCCCGATCCCTGATGAGTAACTGCTCTTCTCCCGTCTCTCCCTGCCGTGCAGCGTGTTTTGGGACCTGTACTGCGCAGCTCCCGAAAGGCGAGACACTTGTGAACATTCGAGTGAAGCCAAAGCCTTTCATGACTACGTGAGTAACAAGTTTCTAATCCTCGCGGTAATTACGGCGTTGGGGAGCTCCGGCGCACCGGGAGCCAACCTAACATAACCGAGAGTGGCAAAAAGCGTGGGGTTTTTTTAACCAGCAATGTTCTGATTTGACTGAACAGTATTTCATAATGTTGCAATTATGTAAATGAGCTCAGATACTTATCTTAAGCACTTAGAGGCATTCGGGCTAGTGGTAGAATTAAGAAGTTTTGCATAGCAATGGACAACAAAGCGTTTATGGAGGGTCGATGGTGAGATGTTTCATGCTGAGGACACAATGTGATGGTGAGATGTTTCATGCTGAGGACACCTCGAAGGGTGGGCGGGGGTTGGCTTTTGGTGGGGAGGAGAAGGGGGAATTCCCCAAACCGCTCTTGAATGTCCCAGTTAATATCTCCCTGCCTTTGGCAGGGCTGGAGGCTTCCTTGGTTTCCTGAGTCCTCCCTTGATCCTAGCAAGGGAGAGCTGTTGTCTTGTTGAAGCTGGTGTTGCAGTGGTGTTGGTTGGTCCTTGTGTGTCTTGGCTCTCCGTGGTTCGGGTTGCTCTCTGCAGAGGTGGCAGCGTGACCCAGGGATGGATGATGTTTCTGGGGTGGCATGCTTGAGTCTGAGGTGTCTTTCAGAGGACCTCTCTTGGCAGGGGTGCATGGCATGTCTGCCCCAGTGGGCGATGGGTGGGCTGCCCACTCCCGTCCTGCACCCGCAGCGTTGGGAGGAATTTGCATCAAAGGATTAGTCACCTGGCTGCGGGCTTGGACCCCAGTCAAGTGTGTTTAAACCTCATAGCAGGAGCTGGTTTTGTCTGCTCCGGGGAGACTATGGTATGGAAACCATTTTTCCTCCCTTCCCAAGTTTCTCGTTGCCTCGACATGCCTGGCTCGGGATGTGTTGAGGGTTTGCTGGCGAGCAGTGCCAGGCGAGTGTCTCGGGGTCCTCCACGGCGTTCTCCATGCTGGCACTGGACACAGTGGTTGCCTTGGGGCACAGGCAGTGCCAGAGAGGCTTGGCTGGCTGCTGAGCTGCCTCTTGTCTCTGCCCACCCTGCTGGGTCATGGGGGAAGTGTGTCGGGGTATTTGCTAGGTGGAGTTTGTCTGTCTGTCCATTCCTGCGGCTGCTGTCTGCATTGCTTGTTTTCACTGGGTTGGATTAAGATGGTGAACTCCTGAACCAAGGGTCAGAGCTGACAACCAGCAGCACATCTACCGGTTGTTTGGCTTCTGCTCGCCTCCTGGATGTTTTGGGTCAAATTGTGGGGGTTTTAGGAGCCCAGATGGGACAGCGGGCTCATCAGGAGCAAGGCAAAGGTAGATCTTTGGGCAGCAGAGCCACAGGTGAAGATGACATTAGCAAACAAGACGTGGTAATGCTCCATCCACAGCAGCCTCCTCATTGTGTCTGAGGATTTAGTGTATTTAGAGAAATTAATCTTTTTTTAGCTTGGTAATAATTCTAACAATAGGCCTGAGTGCATTAGATGATTCGCATAAACTTCTTTAATACACATTGCTTTAAGCTTACAGTAAATAGACACAATCCTGATTGTTTTTAATTCTCGGTGTAATGCAGTTTTGTAACAGCCCCAAGTGCTTTACCTTTTGGGCAACTCCTAAGAAGATTTTCAGTCCCCTGTGCTTTGGCTTGGTGGCACTGGTTTGGTTTCCCCAGGCATGTTTTGGCCCCAAGACAGTGCTTGTGCTTCTCCGTGGTGTGGCTGGTGATGGATGCTCACGGTAAAGTCCCTCTCAGAGGAGTGGTTTTTCTGGTGTACTTTACAGGGCGAGGGACCTACCTGGCCAAAACTTAAATATTGACCAAAGAACTGAATGATAACCGTGGGAGTGTGAATAGAGCCTTGTTTCTCTGCAGCTTCCGGGGCAGGCTGCTTGTACCAGTGAGTATGGTGGGCAGTGTAAAACCCCAAAGCCAGTGACCCATCAGTGGTGCATGACAGCTAAAATGGAATATGAGCCCCAAATGGGGCTGGATCAGTGAGTCATGAATTTCTTCATGTGGTGGTTGTGGTTAAAAATATCCCAATCTAAGTCTTGCCCCAGTTTGGTAGAGCATTGTATTTACACTTGCCCAGCAGTGGGCAAACTCCGTGTGTCCTGCTTGGTGTTTGCCCAAAATAGGGTGTGTGTTAATCCAGAGACTGTGCTACTGTAAAGACAGAAAGAGGGGATGCTTTGGGAGCCTGGCATGTCACCTTCCCAGAGCCAGCACCAGAGGGTTCTTGCCTGGGAGACAAATCTTTGGAAAGGGGGAGTGGTTATCTTCATTAGTGGGATGCTGATGGTGGGATTTGCATGGCATGTCATTTCCACTTCATTTTCCAGCATAACGGTTTGAAAACTATTAGGAGCAGCAGGACAAATTGTCAATTTCCCTCTCTAGTGTTGAGTATTTAAATCTTCAGCGAGAAATTGAAGTAAGGAGAAATCCCACCGCTCTTTTTTTGTGGGGACCCTTGAAAACTGTGGGGTCTTGTGAGCACTTGGAAATACTGCTTTTTTACCTTTCCCCTAAGGTTTTTCTCCCAAGCTGGGACAAAAACCTGCTGGGACTTTGTAGGAGAGTACTTGTTGGGAGAAGAGTGATGGGAGTGGGGATTCATCTGGCACAGGCAGAAGGAATGCTGCTCTGCTCTACCCTTCCATCTCTGGCAGGTCTGTGTGTCTGTTAACACAACTATTGAGTTGTGTTGGTTGGAGGGTTGTTAGTCATCCTCTTCCACCTGTCTCCAAAGAGTTTATCCAAGGTAACGAGCACTCACCAACTCTTAAAACTCAACCCATAGCTATTGATTTAGGCTTCTCCAAGCCCTGTGGTGAGCACACCAGCGTGCTGGCACGCTCCTGGAGCCAGCAGGCTTGCAAGGGGATCGCTCGTCATGACAGGGGATTTCAGCCGCCGCGTTATCTGGGAATTGGCCGATGGCTGGTCGCAGTTGAGCATTTCAACGCCGTGAAAGCCAATACAATTTGAGTTAGCGGTGATGACTGCCAGTTTAAATACCGCAGTGAATTTCTGTCAAAGAGCTAATACACAGAAAGGGGAATTGCAGAAAACTTGATCACCAGAACCACTTCAGTCGATTTTGGCCTCGAGCTACAGAAAATGAACTTAAATCTAGTTGACTGTTGCTACATACTTTTTTGTGGTATTGCACTGCCTGCACAGCCAGCTCATGTCAGTATGCAGGAGAGAAAACTCGGGGTAGCTTTTAGCTGATGAAGACTTTGACTTCATCATTCCCTTCCTCGGTTCCCCCAGTTTCCTCCTGAGAAGGACCTGCACTTGGGATCATTTGAAATGCTGTTTTCTTTGCAGCACAAGATCTGCGGAGCTGTGGCTTCAGCTTGCCATTAACGCAAAGCATTGATTTATTTGTTTTTGTTTTTAACTTTGGAAAGCTGCTGCAGTTCTTTCTAACTTGGTCTGGAAGGATGCTGTGCATCTGTGGGGGTGGTTGCTGCTGGAAGTTCAATGGTTGATCTGGGAAAAGATGTTGTGTTTGGGGCTCCTGTCCTCCTGTCTTGGCTGGGGACACCAAGGGCCCCTCCTTTTTCCCTCATCTGAAACAATTCCCCTTAGATTGAGATCTTGGGTTTCTGAAACTCATATGGATGGATGGATGGATGGATGGAGAATTGGAGAATTCAGGCTTGCTAGAATTGGTGTCCTCAGTGGGAACAAGGTGAAGACCAAGAGGCTGGAAGGACTTTGGCCTGCTGGCTATATAGACTGGGGGTGTCCCAGGGGTCGTTCTTTCATGCTGAATCTGCCAATCACACCCCAGGTGTGACTCGGGCACCCCAGCATCACTGCCTGGGTATTTTTGAGCTGCAGCAGAGCATTTCCTTGTCACAGCACCATCTGCTCCCCAGGGTCTGTGTGGCCAACTCATGGTGTGGTGCACTGGCAGGTGACATGGCCTTGTGGGACCCCTGGGAAGGGATGCTCTTCATGCATGAAAGGTTTGGTTTGACTGTCTCCTCTCCCATGCCAGGCTCTCTTCTTGTTCCGGGACCAGTGAAGGTTGTAAGACCTTGTTCAAGGCACCCATGGCAGTGAGGGTGGGACCAGCAGGTGTGAGAGTGTTGATCCATGAGTACCTCTGTGGTGGTGGTGATGATGGTCCATGAGAGCTTCTCCTGTTGTGTCCAGCCAGTGTATTGAAAACGTGTTGTGTAGGAGAAGAGGTGTTTTTGGGGCAGGTTTAGTGCTCGGCAGGGACAGGGGTTGGGAACAGCTTTGTGTGGTCACTGTGAGCCCCCACAGGCATTGCCTGAGCCCTGGGCACGTGGCTCAGCAGTGGCACACACAGCTCTGTCCTGTTTCCATGCAGGACTGTGCTCTGTCTGGGCTCCATCCAGCTCCATGCTGCAGGGACAGGGTTCCCTGGTAGGTAACCAGAGAGAGGAGTTTCCTTCAGGAGTGGCAGGCTGCCAGGAGCAGCTGCAAAACTCCACATCACTTAAAAAAAAAATTGCAGCAATAATAAATAAATCCAGATATTCCCTCTCCTGGCAGTGCTGGGTTCAGCCTTCCCTCCCAGTTTAGGGTATTGGTGAGCCTGGGTGTCCTTTAAAGCCCGATCTTGCTGGAGTACCATGTGGAGATGGATTAGGTTAATATTATATTTTAAACAATATGAGCTGTTGTGGCAAAGAAACCTCCACTGCCACACTTCCTGCTGCCCAGCAGCAGGACCGGGGTATTTCAGAGCAGCACCTTTCCACGGGTGAAGCTCGTGGAGAAGGCTCCATTGTGAAACTGGAGGTCAGAGCCCAGAGCTTATGTCTTAGTCTTTGACTGGGGAGCCTAAATATTTATCCTGTTCTGTCCCTAATGAAAACAAATTGTCAACAGTTGTTCAGTAACTGACTAAATTAAAATCTGTAATTAGTCAATTAGATTAAAGAGTTGGCACAACCTGATTGTATCATGCTGGTTAGGTTATTAAGAGAAAGGGTGTGA